CTTTCGCCTGATATTAATGTGCAAACCTGATCTGCAGTGGTGAAAAACATTTGTGCCCACGTAAAGAATGGAAATCCGGCACCTTGTGGATAAGTTGTTAGAAGTTTGCAAAGGGATATTCCGTGGCACTTCACCATATTCTATGTATGAAATTGCGTCATTTTTCATTAAACTTCGCCTTTTTTTGGTTCCAGTTCGTCCTCCTTCTCCAAATGATCGCCGCTACTAAATCAATTCAACTATAGATGGATTCAAACATGTATTTAGTAAACCTATTTCTATTTCTGATCTTCAAAAATGCACCATTTGATTCATGTCATTTATTATTACCTTCATCATCATTTGTGAATTATGACTTTACATTTCTAGTTGTATAATTTCGAAAACTTTCATATCTAGCCTGAACGATAAAGATTTGCTCAAGTATAACTATTATACATCGAGTAGTAATACGCAATAGACAAGTGATTGGAAGCCTGATAATAGTCAAAAAATGCTTTTCATTAAAATACACGTCAACAATCAGTTCATGTACCACACATTTTTCGAATTATACTTTTAAATTCTTTGTAGCAAAAGTTGCAATAAACTCAGACAATTTCTCTATAAAGTGAATCAATACACTGATTACTGGCTTTGTAGTCCGCTATGAGGGCTATAAGAGGAACAGCTGTTCGCTGTGGATCAAGACCAGGGCGAGTCACAACTGTTTATAGCTTCATCTATCGTCGATAAAAAAAATTTTGATAGGAAAAAGGCATTCCCATTAGCAAAATTATCAATCTTATTTTTTATTCTACATTGTAAAAGCATGTATTATGCTGCCAACAAACATTTGAAATGGTTTCCCACTGGATGTTGGCAACAGAGGTAGAGGAATTTTGGTTGTATAGAATGTCTTATTTCCCAAGTCATAATCCGAATGTAATTAATCTGATCAACAGATCTCAAATTTAGCTTGCAATCCTTAAGATCATTGGATCAATTATTAATTTTCTTATATTTCCAAGATGTTTCGGAACATTCTTCAATCAAAAAGAGATCAGAAATCGTCTTGTCCTCAATTTTTGGATCTTTATAATTTTAGGTCTGTAAACACGATCAATGATTTCTAGAGAATTTTTGAGAGATCATTGGATCATTGAAGGGGAAAAGAATGGAAGAAATCCTATGGACTAATGCAAATGAAAGATGAGTTGCAGAAGATTGTATTAAGGATGAAATCTGAAGGGTCTAATTTGTTGTTCGTCTATTCACAGATCAAATTTAACCTTTTCATCTATTCGTAGATCAAATTAGATAAAATAGTTGCAGTACTAAGGCGTGACATTACACTCCAGCAAAACTGTCAAATTCTTACCTTTGCATTTCTACAGCAGCATAATCAGCACAATCAACTTCGAATCGTACCAGCAGTTTGAACTGGCCAAACTGATAAGAAACGAGCTGGAAAAATGGGCCAGTAGTGAACTTTGACCTTGCTTTTGTCATTTTGCATTTCAATGCTTGATCAAATGTTACATGACCAATTTCCATGAGATCTGATGCTTCCATTCTAAAAATACTGCTGTGTCGTTTAGAACTGTTTTTACACACAGTTGCACAAAAATTTTAGTTTGAAAATTCCTAACAAAATTTCTGACGAAGGAGGATAACATCTCTTTCTAGCTTCTTAAACTAGTAATTGCTTTTTATATTAAAAATCATTGCTATAAACTGAAAAAGTATGGAAAGTCAGCTCTCTGAACGATATGAACAATGTCATATTTAATTTAATCGGTATTTTGATCGTAATTATGAGACGAGATCAAAAGATAAACGATTGAAATATCATACTGTAAAATTCTTAATATGCGATAACGCTTATAATCAAAACGTTTTTGTAAAATCATATCAAAATGAACAGGTGCTGATTAATGGATTCACAAAATCAAAATCAATAAAAATTTAGTACAAATTTGTTATTTTATTTCATCTACAGCGTGCTATTACCTTGTTAATAAAACGGTTTTCCCTATTCGTTCTACATCAATTCGAAACAATCCATCGCCAGCTTCCTGCGCAAATGCGAACAATTTCTGCAAGTTTACAGCATCGGTGATAAAATTGTAGTCGTTGAAATTAATTGGTTTCTTTGTCTTTGCTGTTATGTGATGCGCAGCTAATATAGCTGCGTCTAACGAACCAGTCGGAATCTGAAAGGTCGCTGATTAAATTGAATGTTTGCATCAATAAATAGCTCAGTGACTTTTGGCACTTTCTGATAAAATATCAGTTTTTACTTGGATAACCTAATTTTCATACCAGCTGATTTCTGTCAGCCCGGCACATCTTGTTTCAAGGTTAAAATCATACTTTTGAACCAGTTGTTGGGGAAACACCTCTGGCTTGCAAAGATAAAAGAAAATAAATTTCATGGAAGAAAATAAGCCTCATAAATAACAGCAATTAAGTTATTGGTAGCTGATTTGTGCAAATATGAAGGTCTTTATATGCATCAAAAAAATAGAAATTTTAGATTTAAACTCCATTCAAGTTTCTTATGCGTTTACAATGTTCAAAAAGCAAACTTTTAAGTGATTGACATCATATATAACCACACCGTGGTCCTGCTGTAGTTTGCCGCCTGCCCAGAAGAAAGATTCCGGAGGCATACCAGGCATCTAAATAAAAATGAACTATGAATTTTCGTTAGCTATGAACGAATCACTGGCTGCCTGGTTAATAATTGGCCACCTAGCTAGATGATAAAATGCAGTATTATTCATTACAAAAGCAGAACTTCTACAAAACTAAGGAAATTTGTAATAAATTTTTACATTTAAAGGGTTTTTTCATTTTTTCCACAAACAACCCTTTTTAATGTAACGCATGAAGTTTCTTGCATTACAATATATAAAAATTGTTATTTGTTTTAGTAAGAAGGAAAAAAAAGATAAGAAATGGAAACAGTTGTTTTGTGAACAACATACAATGGCAATTACCTGGTAATTTTTACCTGAGTAATAGTGGAAGTTATTTCTTTAAGGTTATTTATGACAAATAAATAAAACTTACAACGATGGTAGGTGTCTCGTCGTTTAAATACCATTGATATGAGCCGATTCTTTCGACAAATTTCGTGGATGTTGGTCCACCTTTCCCAGATAAATTCACAAGCGGTAAAAGGCCATATGGCTCTTCTTCCAAACCGTCAAATAACCAAAACCCTTCAGCTGACATACTTGAAGGCTGAAGGCTTGCTTTCCTCGATTCTTGAACGTTGTATGTTACAAGCTGAAATCCTGTCCGCGATTTTTTGCATCAGTTGAAAAAGATTTTATCTAAGATTTTAATGACCCAGATTTTGTTCAGAAACAACTCGAAAGTAAAAAAAATTAAATTAAGAGGGAAAATTAAGTGGCATTATTTATCGTCACTAGAGGTCTGATACACCGTACTCTTTTATCCGATCTTATCTTTCCCTCCCCCATTTATAGCCAATATTATATAATTTTTTCCCATCTCGATAGTTTTCTCGCCAAAATATCACACCAAAAGATTTTCATATTTTCCAAACAACTTTCGTAAGGAAAGTAACTAAGGCAGCACAACATATATAAGCAAATCGAGGTGTTGAAAACTCGCCATATTTTATAACTCAAACCTATTTCTCAAATTTTTTTGAAGAATGTGAGAATTCAGAAATTCTTAAAAAGATGAAAAACCGGCCTATTGTTTTACTCACAATCTCTATGTAAAAGTCAAACCCGAGTAGACGAGTAGACGTTTCTATGCAAAATTCGTAAAATCTGATTTCAATTGCTACAAAGCTCTCAGGCTAAATTCCTATGTATATATATATATATATATATATATATATATATATATATATATATATATATATATATATATATATATATATATATATATATATATATATATATATATATATATATATATATATATATATATATA